TGGTTCACTCTTCACGAAAACACATTTCAAAAAAGTGGTGCGAAAAAAAGCTTACCACTATATTTGATTCAACAGTGACTAACGTTAAAGTAGACAGCATGTTTTTTAAATATTTCATTTTGAGGCATTTCCCAGTCCATCCACCTCATCCGATGCACCCGTGAAAGGAAGAAGGCCTTAGCTGCGAAGTTGCTTAGCGGAAAACACCAAATGAACAGTTACAAACTATTGGACAGGGGAGCAAACTCTCATGTGCATCTTGCTTACAAAAACTGAATATCCACCTTCTCTTTGAACGCGTCTTTCTGAACTTTCTGGATATTCCTTGACTATTGAGAGAACGTAATACTGACAAGCCCCATCAGTAGTATCCACTGTTACACCCGTAGTATACGTGTGCAATATTAGTTTACCAGTTTTGCATTACTTGTACTGCATGAGTAGTAATATCTGTATTCGTCCATTAGGAAGCAACTGCACCCGAATTAAATACCACGTAGACATCTCTAGATTCAAAACTGTCCTACTCTCTTTTAACCTGACTACGGATTCGCTTTCTCTCTTTCTCTTTCCATTAGGGTCCCCAAGGGCCTCCTGGTACCTGCCCTGCTACATGTGAGCCTCCTGCCGTTCAACCGACAATCATACAGGTAGGACAATCTCACCCCCCCCCTGGTTTCTCATCTCTGCAATTCTTCAGTCAACTTAGTTTTAGACTGATCTATTCCCCTTCTAGTGCACCATGTTCCTCTGACACTGACTATGTATTTCTATCTACCGAGAAGCTTAGCACATTTGTGAGAGCTTCATAGATTCTTCAATTTCCATGAGACAACTTTGTCTCAGGAAGGTGGATGAAACTAAGAAGCTATTCCAAACTGGAACTATAACTAAAAGATGGGATATTTACTGGACCAAGAGTACGTGCCACTTCATTCCACTTTTAGCGACTCAACCCGCGCTTGAGTTGCTTTTCTCATATTGGTTCCGGGTACTCACAAAGTACATTCACTCACGTATATCCCAGATTCACAAAATTAGTATCCAAACTGCGAATCTGCCAAAATGCCCAAATTAGCCGATAAATCTTTGTTACACCACTGATGATATTCATATTACAGGGTCCTCCTGGAGAACAAGGCCCGCCTGGTGTTTGTTCCTTGGAGCAGTGCAAAGAGGTGGCAATTGCTGGTCCACCCGGACCGCCAGGTCAGAGGGTAAGTCAGATAACTAACTGCCTCATATCTCCTTGTATAAACTGGATGCCACAGTGCGAGTTAAACCGCGACAGACAAAACCAACTGCGAAGAACTTATGAGCAATCATTTGAAAAGCAGAGCTATAGTGGATTCTTCTGCTTCGGTTCACCAAACATCGTAAAACTGTGTTATTCGCTTCTTCCGTCTTCTCCTTCACTAACCAAGCTGACAGTATTTTTTTGTACTCTGCTGATGTATTCTGATTACAAGCACTAGCAAAGGAACCGGAGGTAGCCCGCGTCTCTGAGCCAGTCGATCTAAACAAGAAACTGCTCTACTTATCAAAGCAACTTACAGGTCTCTGTGGTTGATACGATTCTCGGCAAACTAATGAAAGAACTAAACTGCATTATTTCCCTCAAGCGAGCCCGCTTTACCCCCACATGCACACCAAGACCACGTGACTTTGAACTCGTAAGAGTCGGGACAAATACTTTTCTGAAGATCACTCTTAAATCCCAATAAAGATCACTCCAACTCTGTGTGGAGCGAAATACTCTACTAGAAATAACCGGCATGCAACAGTACCACAGTGGGCTTCTACGTGTTCCGTCAACATTTAGGCTTCCGGTCGATAGTGCCTCTGAGTGACAGAAGTCTCGCTGGCATGACTTCCCTTAAAACTTATTCCAATGTTCTACTCTATTCCAGAAAAAAACATTTATTAAAAGAGATTACCTCCAGTAGTACCTTCGGGTGGATCTCCAGATAAAACAACCCAACCACTCTCAGGAGTGCTGACTAAAATTGGTCTCTTTGCGCGGATAGCTTCTTTGAGGTAGCGCATTTGTCCATCCCCGTCGAAAGATTACACTGACGGACCGACCAAAAGGTTTCTTCTATGAGTTGGCCTTGAAGGTGGTCTGTTCAGAGTGGGGCGGCTGAACGTACAAACCGTGACTACGGCGCCTGAAAAGCACTGTTACACAGAAGCCTTCGACACAGCTTCGTTTTATGGTGTCACGATGTTCACTGCGTGCACTTTGTACGCCTGACACATACCGAGATACTCCTTGTGTTCATTTCCCAGAAAGACTTCCGACAACAAATACTAACACTCAGAAGAAGCCATCCTTAGATAGTTCCCGAATTTTTATTGAACGGTATAACCATCTCAGAAGTGCACGACTTCTAGAAAAGTTCAATTTTAGTTGGTTCTGACAGCTAGTCCTTCCGGAGGGTTTGAACCACACAATACACATCTGGTTGAGTTGGCAAGGCGTCGGTACTCTCTGGATCACCACAAGGCTGATTGGCTGGCCTGGAGTTGGTAATATGATTCCCAGCCTGAGCATCGTGCGATCGGCAGGAGGCGAGATGAAAAGCTGTTTCGGACATAACCAAACCACTGTGAGTCGGCATAAGGACAAATCTAACGCTTGTGATACTGGTGAGAATGAAACAGGCATGTCGTCGACATCGAGCTGCCCGAGAATAAAATGTTGAGAAACGAGAAACTTCACCAAGTTTTGACTAAACATGGTATATCACACCGCAACAACCCCAACTCATTATTTAGCATGTAGGTTGAATCCCGATTCTCTCCCATCCCCGTCGCCAGTTGTTGTGTCTTGCTGAACGGGAGAGCAACTCTGCATCGGTCCTTTGTCTTCCTGCTCCGCCCACTATGGTATATCAAAGGGTACGGTGGCTCAACGCAGCCCTTTATAGAGACTAAGGAAAATTTTTACAGCTTTATTTATAGCGTAGTAACAGTGTTCCACAAGGTCGTGCTAGAATCTCCGTGAGGGGACGAGGAACGTCGAGCCAAAGGTGCTCGATCCAGAGTGGCTGGCATCGTGACCAATCAGGGCGTGCCTTCGTTTGGTCCGTGTCCTGCACATGACACATCCGTCCAAATGATGTGACGTTCGGTTATTACGGACGGCTTGACTCCGGAAACTCCGTAAGTCCTCTTCACCTTGCTTTCATTTAAGCTTCTTTTAAGCGCAACTATGAAAGTCCACTATTCGTGCAATGGATACTGCTTGTTCCAATAAGTTATTCAATCAGTTTTCCATTACTTCTAGGGTGAAAAAGGTGATCCAGGTTACTGCGACTTAAAAGACGAGCAAAACCAGCAAACCATCGTTCACATGATTCGAGAATACTTGTCTCGCCCGGTGAGTTGCTTCTTTTCCCTCTTTTCTTGTCACAACAACATTCTGAAAGGGTTGCCCTGATATCCTATGTAATCGGCGTATTAGTACAAAATTTCCATCATGCGCGTCTGTGATATTTACTAGAGGATGTACACTGACTCCAGTCTATTAGCCCTGATATCTTATGTAATCAGCGTATTAAAACAAAATTTCCATCATTGCACCCTTATTGAAAGGACGAAAGCCTTCGCTGCGGAGTTGTGACAGTTACAAACTCTGGACACGGGAACAGCTACAGATCAATGGACAGGAAAGCAAAACTCATATGCATCTTGTTTACAAAACTGAATATCCATCTTCTCCTTGAACGCGTCTTCCTAAACTTTCCTGAATATTCATTGACTGTTACTCAAATACAGGCAAATGCCACAAAGCGACTCCACATATTCCGTAATAGATCTCACATTTCACGAGAGGCGAAGCGGATTTGCGACAAAAAATACTACTCGTATGTCTCATCAGTAGCATCCACTGTTACATCACATCAGATATTTCTGCTGAATTGCCCTAGAAAATACATTCGATCGTGCTAGATCCACAACAGCACTGAAAACCGCCACACGCCGTTGTAGCGGGTGTAGGCAGAAGCTATTCTGAATTCATTTCTCTCACAGGAGAATCGAGTTGTCCGGCCTCATCTCACAGTGTCCGGTTTAACGTAGATAGTAGCAACAGCTATTATGTTCATCCATCATGTTTTATAAGTAGTGAGCCCAGAAGCACTGTATAGCTATTTCGTCCACGTTTGAGAGTTTGAATCTCAAAATTTGTATACAATTCAAACCAAACTGGGCTTTCACTGAAGAAGTTTTCACTCAAACAGTCAACATAATTGACGTGGAAGACTTGCCTGAGCGATACCCGACACTGCTCCAATGTAGGTTAGCCACAATCTCTGTTAGCCAGTCGTAGTCAAATCATGATGCGTTCAAAGTTTCATCCGAAAGGTGGTGTGCTGAGTTTTGACCTAGATTTTACCTCTAACTGGACCTCGTAACACATGCGATGTTTAGTTTACTGAGGTACCAACATGTATTCATTGCGGCAAAGGGTGTTTGAGCAAACCACATCGTTGAAGTGTTCAGTCCACTGTCACTCTGTGGAACCTGTCACCTCCATAAACCTTCGAAATCGTCCTACTCTGATTCCAGCGAGCTTCAAGAAGCGATAAATTCTGCCTGTGTTCCAGGCTAGTTCTGAGGTGTGTTGACATTAGGTCCGAAGATGTGTATCGAAATCCAAGAGGCTGGAGATAAAAGTTATGAATCATTCGGGCTTCATGTCTGCATCTCGAGACATGAGCCAGGCAGGGTTAGCCCCGTTTAAAATTCATCTGTAGCCAAGACGGGTGAACCGTCTACTTAAATCGGGTTATCAAGGCTCGTCAGCTGGTCAGAGTAACTGAAACAAAAGTTGTAGACCAAATGGCCTGCCAAAACCGCTTAGTCCTTGGCGAAACGGATGTGTACTTGAGAGTACTGCCGTCCAGTATCTAGAAAACCCTGAGGATAGCTCGGAATTTCAACTTTGTCCTGAGTTGACAAAGTAACCTACGTCCTTTGTTCCCCAAGACCACATGTGTACAGAATGATACATCGTTTACCTTTGGTTTTAGTGGTTGGCTGTGCATGTCATGGTTATGAGTTCCGCATGAGGACACGTTAGTATCTTTGATATAACTTGTCACCAACAGGAAGTTCAAGTACAATTCAAGGAACAACTGGCAGACGCTGAAAAATGCCAATGCCCAAGGGATCAGCCTTTGACCACTCCCACTGAAGTTTCTGCCCCACGCGTGGGTGAAATCAACGGGTTTGGGGTAAGTCATGTGATACAATACATCAGCAGCATTTGTACCGTGTGCTGCCAAAAAGTATTTATTATCTTCGAGAAATACACTCATTTGCAAATCAGTTTGGTTTTCCGAGGAGATTCAATTGAATCTCTCGTTTATGATATCATCCGGCTGAATATGCTGTACACAGGCGGTCTCATGATTCAGTTGGCACGATATTCGAGATATCGCAGTATATTTTCATAAAGGAAACTACTCACGAGGTTGCTGAAAACTCTTCGACAGCCCACGACCGGTTTTGCCCTTCTTGGGGCTCTTGTTAATACTTGTACAGGCTTCTTAAATCCTCAGGAAGAATAGTTACTCTACAACAGTGGCGCTTGATCTGGGGGAATAACCTAAGGGACAGTAATTCAACGTTACAAGTAAAATGGAGACCAAAGTTTGGCAGGCCTTTTCAGTGGTAATTGTGAGCAGAAGGTTATAGTGGCCCCCATTCAAGGATAAGAAACTCTTCCCCCACACTGAAGACGTCACCTCAGCCAGATCTCAGGTACGACCACTTAACCCATAAAATAAAGAGAGCTAAACTCCATCCCTATCCAATCCGACCCAAAAGGGATTTGCTTATCAAAACCTCTAGTGCATATAGGCTTTCGTCCTTATAGGGCTCACCCGAGATCCCCAATCTGTGGAATTTGTGTTCAAACATTGAAGCGATAGACAAAGTTACCCACGGCCTTGTGTAGCCTCCACAGAAAAAAGCTTGTTGACTGACAACAATACAGTAGTCTGCCTCTGTTCGCCCTTCCAGGCCATGGTCTTTGAAAAGGAGAATGACTTACGCAAGATATCGCACACGCTACCAACCGGTGCGATGGTGTTTGTGAAGGAGCATGATATGTTCTATCTGAAGACGAACGAAGAAGCGAACAGATGGCGGATCCTCAGTATGGTGAGTGTAAACCTTCAGAAACAAACGTTTTGTTTATTACTTTGTCGTCCTCAAAAGCGGTATCTTAACCAATCAATCATCTTTGTACACATTAGCCACCTACGGCCGAGTCAGTCACACTGCCGATTCCGAAACCGGTGAGTCTTCGTGCATTTGCTTGTTGTTCGTTTTTCACGTGCGGTGTTCGTGTTGCACTTTGATTTTGAAGAGCCTAACTTTGCTCATCTACGAAGCACACATGTTTTGTTCGCCAACTTGTCTGAGGATAATATCATCTTACTCCAAAGGCATGCCACTCGTCATGGATCATTCAAGACTTGCGTGTATATGCAGGCCAATACAACAACGCAATGTGTAAACAGTCGGCTAACGACAGGTCTATGTTCACCTTCCTATGCCACTGTTTTTGTGCACTGTGGTAATAGCTATCCTGTTAAGCGACAGCCTGGCTAATGATTGTGTTAAGCTAGCACTAAGTCCCTCCCCCATCCACGTTTATTCTTTTCTTTACAATAAGGCTTTCAAATAAATCATGGTTGTACGGCAGTGAAGCATCGGTGTTGAACACTGATGTCATGCTGTCGATGATTATGATGATGATGATGACTGCCTGGCTTGTGCATTAGGTTATGCTACCGTGCTGCTTTCTTACTCTGGGGAGAGTACCAGTAATCCCAAAGCAGTCTCCTTCGAACCGAGAACACATCCTTGGGAGCACAAATTGACATCCCGAACCAGCTGCGATTCAATATAAAGGCCAATCTTTCGGAAGGGAGATTAAAACAACTGTTGGTGCCCTCGTGTCGGAACCATCATTTTAGCACCTCCTCGGCCTAATTTGAAGTGATGCCTAGTCAGACACTTCACTTTGCCTCTGTACCAAAGGGCTGCAGCAAGCCAGCTAGCACATACTTTTAAATTCAGTTCCTGGGGCCAAATACAATAAAACTACCCCTCTGCATGGATGACGAGCTTCTTAGTCATACAACTTATATTCGTTGTTGGCTCCGAAAAGCGGTCAAGTGAGATGAGTGAGTATGTTAGATATCGCCATCATCATCACCATCATCATCATCATCATCAAAGACAACAACATCAGTGTTGACACTGATGATTCACTGCCGTACAACCATACGGTTCGTGTAATTACATTTAGAGCCCCAGAGTGAAAAGAAGATAAAAAGAGTAGATGAGGAAGGGTACCTAGTTCTGACCTATTGCAAGCATTCTGAGGTGTCTGCACCTCCAATCACTCAGTGAGAGAAGTTGGGAAGAAACTGATAGTAGGAAAGCCGCTGACATCGATCAGCTTCCGTTTATTGCCATGTTTTCGGACGAGTGCAGGCAGAGTCACAGGGACCCCATTCTGGATAACATGAAATACCCAAACTCTCTGTAATCTCTTTCGCACCCTTCTGCCAAGTCCACCTGGTGGTTTACTCCATTCTGAATGAGACACGGAGAACAGCACACCTCCATAGACGGTATTTTGGCATCTGACAAACATGGCCGAGACACTGTAGTCTATGGTGCTGGACGTTTGCCGCGATCAAGGTATCCTCGTTTTGTTGCTAAGCCCAAATTAAACTGCACTTCAAAGTAGGAAACAAATTACTTTTCGAGAATACACCCACCTTGCAAATCAATTTGGTTTTCACGGGAGACTCAATTGAATCTCTCGTTTATGATACTCTACAACAGAATGTACTGCAAACAGGCCGCCTCATTATTCAGTTGGCACAATGTTCGAGATATCGCAGTATATTTTCATTAAGGAAACTACTCACAAGGTTGCTGAAAACTCTTCGACAGCCCACAACCGGTTTCACCCCTCTTTGGGGCTCATCAGGTAAGCGCAGTCCCCGAGTTTCCATCAACCTTGTGTTCTACCTGAACCCAAATTGGACTGTTTTCGAGAACTACACTCATTTGCAAATCAATTTGGTTTTCACGAGAGAATTAACTGAGTGTATTTCTCGAAACCAGTCCAATTTGGGTTCAAGTAGAGCATAAGGTTGACGGAAACTCGGGGAGTGCGCCTACCTGATGAGCCCGGAGTGGAAGGGCGAAACCGGTCGTGGGCTGTCGAAGAGTTTTCAGCAACCTTGTGAGCAGTTTCCCTTATGAAAAAACAGTTACTTGTTCCTATGTTTTGTGTTTCTCCGAAAAAAGAGAACATTGCATTTTCCATGTGCAAGACCTCGAAGGCGAACACGGCTCAGTTGGTAGGTAGTCCGTTTGTGCAAGTTTTCGCTGTAAATGACCAGCTCACATGTTTGTGAGTTGTAACAGCGAAACAGTGCATACGAATTTTTATCCAAAAATCGCGCTAAACAGTAACCTGAATATGGACAATCGACAACCCCAGTCTGCGAATTTCACCCTGCCTGGTTCCGAAGGATCAGGCTGAACCCCCCCCGCCCGCCGACTGTTTAACCACCCACTTTGATTTGCATCAGTCACTAAAGTGCTTTCAATGTTTGTTTTTGGTTTTAGGAGCCCAAGAAGACACATGTGCCTAGACATTATCCCCAACTGGCGGGGAAAACGGTAAGACCTCCTGACCTTGTGTGATTAATTTTCATCATTTCAACTTGAAAAAATCCTCTATTCGCATGCTCCAAAACTTCTCGAAACAGCCAAAAAATTAATAGCGGGCAGCATGTCCGGAGGCCAGCCGTCCCTAATAACCGAACACCACATCAGTTGGACGGATGTGTCACGTGCAGGACACGGACCGAACGAAGGCATGCTCTGATTGGTCAGAATACCAGCCAATCCGAGTCAAGCACCTTTGACTCGACGCTTCTCGCCCCCTCACGGACATTCTGGCACGACCTTGTGGAACACTCTGTGACTCTGTGATTTTCCTTTGCCTCCATAAAGGGCTGTGTAGAACTACCGTGCCTTTGACATACCATAGTGGGTGGAGCAGGAAGCCAAGGGACCGATACAGAGTTGCACTACCGTCCAGCAAGCCACAAAACAGGATAAAGCAACTTGGCGAGCCGTGGTCTGAAGACACCTGGAGTGGATTTTATCAGTCATCGGACAATGCACTGATTTTTTTCCAACCCCCAGCCTGGCAAGCATAGTGGCCACCCGCTCCAAGAGGGTGCATTACATGCTGTTTTTTGGCCGCAGAAGTGAGGTGGCCTTTTCATGCATCCAGCTGCTTTCCTTCCTGCTATTCCATCCTGATTTAGGATGGCAACTGATTTGGAAAAAAGTACCATCCAACTTGTCCAGCTCTACATTACCTTTCAAGAAATCTTCCCTCTAACGTTCCGATTAGGATATTGTCAAATTGGGGGACATCCGTTTTACATTATTCCTCGGGGGAAAACTGGCGTTCCAACACCGATGAAACTAGATCACAAAGTGACATCTCTTTGAGATCTAGACGGCACTCCACAACAACATGGACTTTTTGCTTGCCCCCTTTCTCTTTCAAGACCCTTCCAACTGTCTGTCAATAAACGGAACCGTGCTGCGCTTGTTAATACCTCGAGCGTTGTTAGTTTGACTTACAGAAATGCAACAGCAGTTTCTCACTTTCTCAACACCGAAAAGCTAGTCACGTCATCCAGTTGTCTTCCATCAGAATCGTTACCTGATGAAAGACATTACGGAACTTAAGCCCATTAAATTCTTGTTTTCAGTATTGTTGAGTTCTTCAGGTTGTGGGTGGATCGATTTCATTATTGATCACTGTATAAACACTCATCGTGAGATCCCAGACCGTGAAGCAGTGCGTTCCACAACCACTGGTCGGATCTGGTGTTACGTTGCAAACAACAACATCAGAAACAGATGTGCCTACTGATGGCGTCAAAGTAAACGTGATCGCTCTCCACAGGGAACTTGCTTGAACAACATGTTCTGCAAATAAAGCTCATGCTCACTGGGGGCTGCGCTGAATTCCAAAGGATTTATGACATTCTTCAACTAAAGGTCACCTCATTTTTCAACCGGTACGATACATTCCTGACTATTTTATTGTTGTGGACCACAGTTTCCCTAGTGCCTTCTTGTTACCGTGAACCCGGTCTGGCCTAGTGCCTTCTTGTTACCGTGAACCCCGGTCTGGATAGCCGATTGATAGCCTGGTGCGCTTGGACAAACCAGAAGAAGTCAATGAACGTGCGAGCTGGCTGATCTATTGATCACTGTCGCGTACAAGTGGGTCCAAAAAAGTGATACTAAGAATACAACTCACCTGTCAAGGACGAGTGAAGAACAACCAATGAAATTTGTCCCAACGAAAAACGGTTATTCCATTGGCTGTTATACAGCCCCGTTACGTTCAGAGCTGGCTCTCCTAATACTTATGAGGGAAACCGTTTTTAAAAGTCGTGTGTTGTTTGAATAGGATGTCTTCCAAGTTTCTCTCAGATGCGCTAGATGACCCTTTGTATATTTATGACTGGCTGGCTGTCCATAAGGCGTCCAACGTGATTGAACCGAACAACTTTACTCTCTTCGGTACCCGTATACAAAAAATTCCTCCAACCATATCTTCGAAACCTTTGTGTAATCCAATTTGCCAAACAAATTTTCGGGAGAACTAATTTTTGACATTCTGTAACAAGCACCTTGGTATTTAGTTCCGTTCTGATTGGTTGCGGTACCGAAAAAAGTTGCATTGACTTTGATTGGCTATATCAAACAGGCACAGATCATGTGGTGTGCTGACGCTACCGGCCACGCAGCGTAACCACCAGTTGTCATCGCGTATAGACACCGCCTTGCTATTCTCTTCATTCTGAATGTTGTATTCACCAGGACAAATCCAGCTTTCTTTGTACCCTTTACCACGGCGAAAGTTGTTCCACACCATAATGAGCGTTCTCTTCTCATTCACGTGCAGCTCTATCTGGTAGCCAGAAACGAACGTCTTCGGGGTGACCTGAGACAAAGCGATCATCTCACTGGGGCTCATTCGGGCTCAATCTATGCGTGTCAGCGTTCTGCCACGAAAATCGGTCTTGGTCGAGCCTTTTATCCGCTAATTAGCACTGACGTGTTCAACATGGACTACGTTGTCCCGCCCATGTATCGTTACAACGTGCCACTGGTTAATGTCAACGTGAGTCTTCCAATTTCATTTCCGATGAATTTGGGAATTCTCATTCTCTCTGAGTCATTTGGAAGCATGATTTATTGATTTATTAACCTTTTGATTGGTGTCTATTTTCCTTACCAAGGGTGAAGTCATATTTGACGATTTCATGAGTCTCATTCAAGGACGAGGCGCGCCCAAGGCCAAGATCCTCACCTTCGACGGACAGGATGTCATGGATGATCCTGCGTGAGTTTTACGACTATAACAGTAGTTTATATGTAGCACCTGAAATCCACTGATGGCAAAGCTGTTTAATTCCATTTCACGAAAGTCACCAATATTCCTCCGTTGTTTTTCGTCGATGAAACGTATGTTTTGTTGCGGTGAATCTCCCGGCAACCGGTCCTTTTGCTCAACCCTGAATCAGTGGACCGAATCCAGTCTTTCAGGAACTGTTGTTGGGTGGCGCCACAAGTCATCCACCAAACCTATTACATCTGTCGGTACCAAATCAATTTTACCAAATTTGATGACTCATTCCTTGGTTTCCACACACAGAGCTTGTACGTCTACAAGGCTGCAGTTCAATAGTCCTGATGTAAAATCGATTCTGGTACCGGTTTTTCCTTCTTACATCCTGTTTGACTTGCTCAAGTGTTGAACAACAGGTAATATGGTGGGAATCCCACTGCTTCTATCATTCGAGACCAAGTTTAGTTTTAACATTCAGGTGATGGCGTTGAACTTTGTACCCCCCCCCCCCGTAAATCAAATTTTTTATCCCACCCTTGGCAAAATGTTTTTCTCCACTAATTCGTATACCTGCAAGTTGTGTCGAATGATTTTTTCTCATTACTACTGTTACTATCATCAGTAATAATGTGTATATTACACAATTTTATTCCATCAATCGGCCACTGTGACCTGGTTCATCGGGTGCCGAGTTGTTGAAGGCCATCCTAATTGATTGAATAGTTTCTAAGAGGAATTTTTTCGCATTTAATTTCGGCCTCTGTTACTATCTACCGAAGTAACTTGCAGACTAGCTGAGTGAGGCTGTGCTCGGCAGAGATAACACGGTTCACCTACACTCAAAATCTTTGGGATCGTTTTATTGGACCCGTCCACAAATTGTATGGCAGGTGTCGTCCTGTTGTTCCACCTCAAACCCTACCTGGGAAGGATAGTAACACGTGTTACTTTTCCCCACTTGTCTCCTTGTTCTAGCCTCCTCTGGTTCCTTTCATGAAACAGCTTATGATGCACCTTTTTTTACTTCATTGGTCAGTCTCCGAATGAAGATAATTCTATGGTTAGGAATTTTTGCCGTTTTTTTTGAGGTTGTTCACCGTAGATGAGCAGATAATTTACGTTATATAGCTGACTTCTTCGGCAGTCTGGGTGAAAACTCTTCTACGCGCGACAACAATGTTCTCTGCTCAATTTCGGTAACACCAACGCCCTTCAATATATCATTTTTGTCACCATTTCTTTCCCCAGTCTGTGCTGGTAGTTCGCGAATCGGTCAGCTGACTTGAATTTTTAAAGATTTTAATGAATTCGGCTTCTTTTTATTCGTTTTTTCACCACCCGACATTTCCCACTTGAAGGCTTCCATAGCTTATACTCCATCTTTAAAAACCAGCCCACGTCTCCAAAGTTCTTTTTTGTCATGTGTAAGACTATGAAGATGGTCCTCCAACTGGGCGAACGTATTCCCTAACACTCATCAGGGGGGCGAGACGACTCAGTGGTTATGGCGTGAATTTACTGACCGGAAGGTCCGTGGTTCGAATCCGACCTCTGCATCTCGACTTCTCCTGTCTAGGCTTGGGCGATCTGGCAGTATCCTAGCCCTCATGCTTCCTTCGGATGGCATGGCAGTCAGGCACCAAAAGGGAGCTACAGCTGAAGACTAATTTAACACTTACCGGTCTAAATATCGAGTGGCAAGCTTGTACTTCAACTTGATTTCGATTACTCACCTTCAGGGTTTTCACAAAGATTATCTTTACTTCCATCAGCCACTTTTTCAGTGAGTTTATTCTAACACGTAAACATGTCAGTTTGTTTCTTTCGAGTCTGTTGTCTATATGCACGCTTCTAGTCACATGCCAGTTTTTACCCTTACCCTTTCACTAGTGCCTCCAGGTCTTCACGTTCAGGCTTCTCATCATCAAATTCTCGCAGATGTACCTTCATGCAGAAATACCAGTTATTCCTCACTAACCGCCTTTTCTTGATGTGTCCTTCACCTTGCAATGCCATCAATCCAGCTCATGAAAACTTACCTATTCGTTTACGCTATCTTGTACTCTCTCATACATTGGGCATAACCCGTAACAGAAAATCCATCTCCCGTAACCCTTTGTAGTGCACCCTGTCTGTGGATTGGCAGACGCCCAATCTACTTGAATGGAGACTATGAATATGCAGCTCAGGCGAAGTGTCGCAACTGGCAGAGCACGCAGCCGACCGAACGAGCTTTAGCTGTGAGTGTGCCAATGAAGAACGGCGATGCCGGTCTGCTAGCCAAGGAGAATTCCTATCTGGTACCATGTTCAAGTTATTGCCGGATGCTTTGCATACAACTCGCTCCAACAGATGCTTGATCCATACTGGTCTTCGACAACAACTAAAAGAACATTCAAGAACCCACGCTTAGTATTTTTTTGCAATTATTTGTCTCTGTTTTTTTTCTACGCACAACACCTGGAACCGGGACGCAACATAGCATGTATTCTCTCGTTCGCCCACAGCGGAAGAATCATGTCAAATCTGCTTGTCTTTGGTTCTTCATAAACTATTTCCAGGGTTCTGTTGTTGACCCCACTTGTCATTATTAATTTTTTTGTGGCTTCTCTCGCCAGAAGACCTTTTACAATGCATTTTCTGTTCACTCCATCTCCCTCAACTCATTTCTCAAGTGCACAACTGTTTTTCTCCGCGCACGTTCATCTGTGCGCACAGTAATCAGCTGTAATCAGCCGTTTGTGAATCGTTCAAAATCATCGTCGATCTTTGGATTCTGGAATTTTGTTCATTCTGAATACTGAACCATTTGGGAAAGAGGTTTGACCCGAATACCCCACCGACCTTATTGGACAAACTCTGTGGTCCACCCGGACGAGAAAACCTGAATCGATTTGAACACGCCATTATTCAGCCTTATAGCAATTCTGGAAACCGTAATACCAGGAATAAAACCCTTTGCTGTGAAGTCGTTTGCTAGCAAAAACCAACTAAGCAGCTACGAGCTATTGGACAGGAAAGTAAACGTCTCATATGCGCATAATTTTTAAGAACTGAACGTTCTCACGCGTCTTCTTGAACTTTCATGGACATTCATTGACTGTTACACAATTGTAAACTAACACTGAAAAGAAGTTCCACAAGTTCCGTAAATAAACTCCAACTTCCATTACACATACACACGGGTTTGACCACAGACTACTCGCGTGCCTCATAAGTAGTAACGCCGCTACACCAGTATTCAGCAGTTAGTAAGAACCTTTGGAAGATTCATTGAAGACAATGATGTAGCTGGATCCTGGAAGGATCAGTCACAAACAGCCGTCCACAAAAGGCTCACATATGTCCATGTAAGTCTTTGGAAAGTTTAATGGCCTCGCACGATTGGGATTCCTAGGATCATACCTTATCCTCACTTCATTAGTCCCTCCGAACAAAAAACAATTCTCTACGGGAAAAATTCTCTCCCGTAGAAAGCATTCCCTACAGTGGATCGCCCTAACAAGGAAAATTCACTGTATGCAGTAATGAAAAGCCTCAAGAGCGCCAGTCCCTTCAAACAAGAAAAAGCGTAACAAGTGAGGATGAACCACTCGGTTAATCAGAGGTAAGAATTCTGTCTAGAAAATTTTTCCTGCACTACGGATTCCACTGATACATTTCTCATCGTGTTGACATCTCTGCGGTCATTGACATTGAGGCCCCCTTCCAAGAAACTATCTACACCTGTATTCAATGGCATCGCACACCCTGGTAACTATGAAGCCGTTCTAATTCTATGATAATTGTTGCACGCCATCGTGAGTGCTAAATGCCCTTAAACAGTGCGAATGCGAACCAGGCACTCCAATCAGATCTGATGACAACTAACGGATCACGTGAATGGATCACATGTTTTCGAAAATTCAGTGCGGTTTGTGGCAGCAAAAACACAGATACCTATGAACCAAATGCTGATGAAGTTCCAACCATGCAAGAACCTTTGTTTGTATCTTCTTAGCTACGTTGTGCTTTCCGCCAGTGTTGATTTTCAAATAATTGGCCTTCGAAATTCCACCTTACTTGAAATAAGTAACCAGAGCCCGCAAAAGAACTGCTAACAGACGCATCTCACAAACCCCAGCTCGGTTCTGAAAGTAATAACTGAATGCTCGAAATCTACTGAGACCCTCAACTCTGCTAGATGCTGACCAGGTACGCACTGCCCTCCCCCAGTATGCAGTGCGTGAAGCTTCGTATCAAAGATACTGCGCGAGACAGCGTTGGACCAAGGTCAGACAGTGTCCCTCCAATAAAATGGTCTGAGGCCGTTGTATTTTCGTACTCACGCTCACGCACTCGCTTTTTCGGAATAAGGCTGTTGTGTTCCTTATCGGTGAGTTCCTTTCCGGCACTAAGCAGTGGAGCGGGGACGGCAGTCAGACGCAACAGATTGGCGACTCAGCAAGATATAACATACGCGTACCTCTCCCCGAACGGACAGTTTGAAGGGATTTGCCAGAAGCGCATTATCCGATATAAGGCTATTTCACCTGGACGGACTAAGATAAAGGGAGGCAATGGCGAAATATAGGTAGCTGGAGTGCGTTGCTTCGTTTTCGGTTCGTTCGCCGAGCTTGGTAATTGAACTGCAAACGTTCCATCACCAATCGAGGCATCAATGCGGAGTTGAGTGGGTAAATTCCTTTGCCTCTGCCTGTCTCTACATAATTTCTAAACGGTCTCTAATAACAAAATCTTATTGGTTTTCACGTAATTCGTTTGGTCAGCTTGGAATCTGATTAGGGTTTGAATTTTATTTGCTTGTGTCTACTTGGTTCATTTGACAATTCGACATTTCTCTTCCTCCGCTGTGATTGGCCGGTTTCCATTTTGCTGTATGGTCTGATATCGTGCCAATTGATTGGTTGATTGAATAATCCACTTTTGGAGTTTTCTTTTTTTGATACGATTGGTCTGCTGGTCGTTCAGAATCTCGCATCTCTTTTGTTCGTAGAGGCAAACAGACTGTGTCGATATCGATGTGTTTATTAATCGATTTTGTGTGCAGTACCATGCTTCGGTAATCTCCCACTTCCGTTTTGTCTTTGCATTTTCACTTTCCCAATTAAACTGGTGAAGGTGACATTGAGTCATATCCTCTTCTGACAAGCTTGTGTTCGTGTATTCTAACAATCACAACAGAGGAACAGAGTTGTGGAACTGAACCAAACAGATATAGGGGAATGAGACCCAAAGGCAACTGAGATCAAAACCTGACCAACTAAATTACGCGAAGGAACCTCGGAACCAACCAATCACTTCTGAGTTATTATATACTGTTTAGAAACAATGTAAGCACATGTAAAATGTGGAAAGTGTGCCCACCCAACCTCAAATTGACGCCCTGATTGGTTTGCAATCCAACTACCAACCTCCAAGAATGGGGAACAAGGTAAGTAATCGCTTCTTTGCAAACATATCTTCACGTTGCTGCCTGGGGTGGAACAGTTTCATTGAGAATTTTCAGTACAGAACTGTACTTCTTTGAGCTATGTCAGCTACAATGTAGGATCATTGCTGAACAAGATTGCTGAAAACTCTTCGACAGCCCACGACCGGTTTCACCCTTTCACTCCGGGCTCATCAGGTAGGCACAGTCCCCGAGTTTCCGTCAACCTCATGTTCTGCTTGAACCCAAATTGGACTGTTTTCGATATCTCGAATATCGTGCGAACTGAATCACGAGGCGGCCTGTGTGCAGCACATTCAAGTGTAGAGTATCGTAAACGAGAGATCCATTCGAGTCTCTCGTGGAAACCAAATTGATTTGCAGATGAGTATATTTCTCGAAGAATGTATCTTGTTCTGTTGAGATAAACCAAATGTTAGAATGGATGTTCCAATCAGCGCTTCTCATCTTTCTCAGGTCAACCACGTATGTCCAAAACTAGGCACAATAAATTACTCAATATGTGAGATTTATAATAAGCAGGTCACGCGACTCTTCACATCTCATAAGTGCTTCGCCAACCTCGTGCATTGCATGACTCACCCGAGGACCGGGACCCCATACTCCGAACTATCGTGACCCTCAAGTCAGTTTCGTTTGAGGGTCATTATATAACAGCGCTCCAGTGCAGATTGGACATACCAAACAGAGAGCAGTGTTTCCTCTCAACACGGTGATAAGAGAGGAACTGCGCACAAAATCCGTTCAGTGATTCTTGACTAGTCAATATAGATTGTCTTTTTATGATCTGCTGGGTTAATCCGGTATGGAAATTGAGTTACACTCCCGTGTCATTGAGTGAGGAGGTTGTCCTAACGATAATGTAGCGTCGCACTACAGTCATGCTAATGGAGTCGTAACAGATTGTATGCACCTCTTGTGATGCTTTGACTAATGCTTACAGCGCCCATAATCAGGATTTATTGCGTTAATTTATCCATGGTGATCTTGGCAAATATGCTTGTTTTGGTATACTTTCACCTCAGATTGGATCGTGCAACCTAGGCAACAAAGCCGTTGATTGGTCGGAATCGGCCTATCAGATTATGACAGTTTGTCTACCAATTAAATGTCGGATGATTCATGTGAAACACTATCATATGCATGAACACTTTCATCAATGAACCAAATGATCCGATTTTTTTGTCGAACAAAAAACACGAGCACTTGAATTTTTAGTTTTATTATTTTTTTAAAAAAGTTTTAAAAAACGCGTGAGGTGTGTACAAAAGTACCAAATGAAAATCACTACTCAAACCAGCGCATTTACCAGCTGCAATTACTGCAAATGGGGTCATAAAATCGTGGCGGGCTGTAACACTAGTGCTACGAGAACCCACTTCTAGTTATGAAACAGTCAATCGGGCAGTTCAAACTGTGTCGGAGGACTGAATGGCATGCGTTCCAAAGCATGCAGCTTCTCTTCGTAAGTTGGGCCACTTTCCTTCGAAGCAGTTTCGGTTCGATTGAACTCCAAAGGCTCAGTCACGTACTTTTTCTCAAAGTTATCCCACCCTCCCATGTACGGGTCCGTTGGGGTGTTGAACAGTTCGTGAACGTTTTGTGTAAATCGATAGACGTAACGTTTGCCGGAAACCTTTTCAATGATTCGCTTATCGTAGTAGTACCGGAGACCGCGGCTCAATTTTTCATAGTTCATCTTTGGCTTGTTTTTTCGTGCACCCCAACGTTTTGCGACTTGGTTAGGTTCCTTCAGCTTGAACTCCGTCCCCTGACCCGTCCAGCTAATATACTCTTTGGCACTGGGGTTCTGAAGTTCTTCGAGCAGGAACTGCCACAACTGAATCGGACCTGTGTGGATTGGGGTGGTTGAATGATTAGCTAGATATGGTAGACAATCGGTTGTCTGATTACCACCAGTAGTTGATTTCGGTATTGGCCAGATAGATTCACTTAGTAACTGCTCTGGAGGTAGGATATGATCACTATCGCCAGTTAGGTAGATCATTTGTCTCTGTCGTGAATTACTGTCTCCACCGTTTCCTGTAGGAAAAAAGTGCACGTGGATTGGGTTAGTTTATACCTCCGAAACAAGACAGATTCATTCTTTGAAAGGTTTCGAGAATCTCTTCATAATGCCTTGTTCATCAACGCTGGATAATGACTACATTTCTTGCAAACTCACGTCGATTAGCAAAAGCGCTTGGTCTGCATGTCACCTTCTTTCGGCTAACTTGTGTGATGCGAGCTACCTTAGTTAGAAATCTACTTATGGATAGTATGGGCAGACATCGTCATGCAAGCCATACCCTCGGTGCCTCCTTACAATGCTCTCAATCCAATCACCGAGTTACCTCACTCAGACCTTAGATTTGAGCCAGATACTTGTCTTTCAGTGCGTGTCTAAACTCTCCCGTAACCCAGTCATCATCAGTATCGAGCTTAAGAAGCGGCACTTGTCATTCAGTGTTTGTAGCTACCAGTTTCATTCACTGATGATCTGGGTAGGTCGGATCGGAAATACAGCACTGTCAGTGGACTGACAAGGAGCTATGCATTGAAGGCAATAGCTTGGATGCACGAGCGCCATTGACGGGTGGCTGTCTGACAATGTCTCCAAACATTGATGTGGCCCGTCTCGGGGTCCCCATCCGGGAAGACGCCAGTAACCAACGTAGCTGAGTTTGCTAGTACTGGCTTTTATACTTCGCTGCCAAGTCATTGCTCGTTTCCAACCTTCGTGTGGTTGTGCGAAAAGAACTCTGAAATCCCCATCCACCGCTTTAGCCCCTGTAACGATGTTTTCACGTGTTACTCAACAGCGCCAATCACGAAATGATTGACTAGTACATCCGGAAAGTAAATGAAGACTGTATGGTGCTTGAGCACGACGCAGCAAGCTCATTGCAAATCTGATCATGTGCAGACAACAAAGAAGTTCCTTCCGCTTTCCTGACTTCGACGGCTTATTCCAAGAGAACTATCGTGACCTAAAAAGTGGCGTTGAGTACGGTTCGTTACCAACTTGTTTGTAGTCAGTTTATTGATGCTGCAATCGATTATTATTTTTCGCTACAAACAGCGATTCAGCTGGAATACCACGCTAAACACTAAGGTCCACTTTTCCCATAAACTAACACTAAAATCCCCTAGTTACTCATCAGTGATGCAGTGAACTTTGGGAAGCCTAATTTCAACTTACCATTAAGCTTTCCGAGTGAGTCACTCCGATGAAACTCCGCAAAATGTGAACTATATGATAACACTTCGGATTCTGGAAGGTAGCAGGATGAAGACAGGTCATGACTGCTAGCTTGATTTGTCTCTGAGTGTTGTAGGCCAAAGTTGGAGTGAGAGAAAAGTCCGGTTGGGAGTAGTGTGTTTGAGTCCGACCGTATCAGGTGGGGCCTTGAAGATGCGGTGATCACCTGTTAAAAAATAAACTCTAAGATGAATCACTTCTTGGAAAAGGTTTGGAAGAACATTATCCCTTCTATAAAATGTACCCCAGGAGTTGTGTGCCCAGTAGATTCCTCCCAGTGGTGCTATATACAATCGTTTGAAATTAATAAAGGCGAAGAGTAATATTCCAGACGATGGAATTTGTGTCTATCTGGGGCTTTTTGCTATTGGCGACGGCAGTGCGGTTTTGTGTTTATCAACGCGAACATCGGTTGAATTATTCAGCCCAAAGTAAAATGCATTTCGTGAAAAGAAAGCGCGATATCCGATAAATTGGTATACTTCAGTCATTGGAGGCTTATGTTCATCCTATGATCAACCCAACTAGAACTAGGCTTTTTATATTACGTAGAGGTGTGTGACATTATGGTATTTGGAACCAGGCCACAAAAGTGTGATTTTCGGTGAACGAACTCCAGATGCCACCATTCGTCTTGGCATAATGACAAGTTGTGGCTACTCATGAGTAGTTCAAAAACATCCCTCACTTCTCTAGTCGCTTGCGACCGATCCAAGCTTCCACCACAGGCAGACCTGTGTCGTGCCACAAGTGATGAGGTCGAGTTTGCCTATTGTGTACATTCACACACCCACACCTTCACAAACAGCCCACGTCTCGTCCGTCTCTCTACCCACTAATATTCCAAAATGCCTGCTAAAACGTTCCCCTAGTGGCGAGTCATTTCGCAGTCATATAGCGATACGCTAGGTTAGTCAGCATCAGGTAGATCTGGGACTCACTCCAATGAGCTAGAACACCTACAAAGGAGGATGAAATCAGCTTTGCGTCGCGATTGAATGTTACGTGGAAACTGCTGGAAAACGGCCAATAAACTCTTCAAATTTGCGTGTCCTATAACTGAACATTTCAACTGAACACAAATAGTGCAGTCTTGTGTACAGGAAAAACCTTCGACCCATAACTTGGGTGCATACACTTGCAATTGTGGATATTTTGTTAACACATCGCCAAGATGATTTGAGCCCACCCTTCCCTAATTGACACATCCTTCAAAACACACGTGTTCTCAAATTTTCTGAAGCCGTTGTAAGCAGTCGACCTATGCCTTCACTTCACTCCAAATAAACTCAATGTAACTTTGAATGTAACACACGTGTTGTTTAGGTCTATAACCACGTGACTAATTCCCCCTGTAGCGACTGAACGATTCGGCCCGGTGATTTGGCACTGATATCTTTTTCTCTTAAGTGCATTTTTTAACCTCGGGATCAATCATCAGATTGGGTTCTCAATGCAGACGGGACAAACATCACAATGAGGTGAATGCCATCGGTCATGACGACCATGCGTATCCACCTGGATGAACGTGGACTCATTCCCTGACGGTCGTCGCGCCAGAAAAAACTTTCAGTTCGGGTTAGGGTTCATTTGGTTGGTTCACTTCGTCTTACATCTCACAGCGAGCTATTACGCAGGTAAGCTACACAGTCGGTGCAGTTGCGGCGACCATAATTTCTCAGGTTGTCTGAGCTTGCGAATACAGGTGAGTAAACGTGACAAATGTGCATACATGACTAGCACGTTCCGGTTGTCTTGAGTCTTTCTCGATGGTCTTCGTGCTGACCACAACCGGGAGTGGACTGTCGAAGTAAGTAGTAAGTAGTCCGAAAAAGGCGATCTTTTGATTGACAGTTGCCAGTCTGGTGGTAGCTAAGCTCAAACTCGCGGAGAGTGGCGTAGACAGAGAGGTGGCCAACCCTTGACAGGCAGAGGAGTATGGAGATCATGAAAAGTTTGGGTGCTCTCGGTGATACTCGCCTTCCAGGATGGGGACCGCGTGATTCTCACTGTACTTGGTTGGCTGCCAACCGATGTCAGTGGCGTTCTTGTTGTCAGTTTCTATCCAGATTGCCTGAGTGAATGTCTGGAGGTGTAGGCACCTCGGAATGATTGTGGTAAGCCAGCACTAAGTCTCTCCCCCGTCCACTTTTACTTTTTTCTTTACAATAAGGCTTTCAAATAAATCATGGTTGTACGGCAGTGAAGTATTGGTGTTGAACACTGATGTCATGCTGTCGCTGATGATGACGATTATGACGATCGCGGAGAGAAAAGCGCTTTCCACTGTATTTTCTAAAGCTCACCGATTGGTTCGAGACTTTTTGAAGTGCGGGGCGGGGCGTGAAACTACACGCGCGCACTTGTATGAATACATAAGGTTTTTACCAGGGCTATAGTGCCAAAGTACTGTTTGTTCAATATAAGTTTTTGGGGCTGAAAATTTGAGAAATCTTGGCAGTGACTACGCAAACGGAATGGTCTCAGTAGGAGCAAAAATCGATTCGATTTACAGGCGGTCTAATCCTACCTAAGGGTGCCTGGACGCGTCCACTACAGTGCAGAGATCTCCACATCGCAAAGATCATCTTCGGGTACCACATGATCCTTGGGAGCATAACAAACACGCCTTAGCAACATGCAACCAGCAGAGCGGGTGTGAGAATGGTCAAAACAGGAACGTCGCTATTGGATGGACAGGAACGAAAAAGTGAGTGACCATATTTGGCCACTCAGCCAACCTATATACTTACAAACTATTGGACTGACAGCACGGTCGTGTTCCTGGCCTTCTGTCTTCTCGTTATCGTCCGACAGGCATAACCGATAGACGGTCTCAAGTTAAAACAAGGGGGTAGCAATGGATTGCTTAGCTGGACCGTAAAACGCCAACCAGTACCGTAGTAATATGCGTCCCTTCTCAATAACCACACCCAATGAGCACGAGGTTGTTTGCCCGTGGAAGGTATCGAGCTTTCAGAGATGTAACCACCTACCTGTGTGGTCGTATTCGTTTTAAACCGGTCCAAATGTATGTGGTCATCTGACATGGTGAACGATGCATCCGGATGAGGGTAGCCAGCGATACCTCCCTGGTTTATCCCACCTTGGCGGAATTGGACGAAGGTAGTCCCTGTGCTTTGTTCAACGCGGTCAGGCTTTTGTTCGGACTGACTTGCATGCAGCTGGTGAGCGTCGATGGATATGCGCTTTTCTGAAAATCGTGAGAATGACATATTACGATCCGCTGAGTTCACGGTATTGTAAAGGACAATGCACAATAGGGCATATCTGCTCAAGGTACATCTGAACTGAATACCATGCGGTTGGCACACTGTGGGTTAGATTCGTTCAACGTTCTCCGAATAGGATTGACCACTATCTGGAAAATCTATTTGCCACGATTCGATGTGCGACCTTACTGAACACTCAAAACTGTTCACCACCATGAGGACGAAGTACACACTTCTGTATGGTGATTTCTCTTGGCGCAACTTTTCTCGTTGGTTTGATTACTATGATCGTGAGCGCTTAGACATAGCATTGGTTGACAAAAACCATTCACTCTATGGGTCAAAACCAAGCACAGCGTTTATCGTTTGATCCCACATAAACGGTTCCCGCTGGTGGCTGTGAACCTCACAAACAAACGTATGTAGTGATACCAACGATCTTACGTTTAAGTGTCACCTTCCAAAGTCATGGATAAGAATGACAAGGTTCTGGTTCTCGCATCAAACCGCTGCATTCCCACATATCTACGTTGACAGAGATCTTTCAAGCATGTAAGCAAAATGCCTATCGGTGACGGACCGCCGCCGAGTGCATAGTTTGGATTCTGAACTCTCTCGACTTGAGCGCAGGAGTACATCGCGCCGACTGATAACGGCCCACATCGCCGATATGGAACACGTCACAACTGTTGGTTGAATCTTGTAGATAGATAAGATGCAACGCACTTTGTTCAAAGAAGATCAACTCTGTTAGACTTCACGACAGTACATGTCCAAGTAGGTTACGAGAGTTTGGATAGTTCCAGGACCAGGAGTGAGTTTCTACTGAAAGGCACGTCGCCCGCCTTTTACCAACTGTTCTGCGGTAGAGCAGCACACAACGGGTCGGTTGCAGACTGAAAGGCTGTCACTGAAATACACCCCTTTGCAAACTAATTTGGTTTTTCGAGAGACTCACCTGGAACCCAGCTGATTTAGTGCAATTTGGTTTCAAGTAGAACATAAGGTTGACGAAAACTCGTGGACTGCGCCTACCTGATGAGCTCCAAGAAGGGCGAAACCGGTCATGGGCTGTCGAGTTTTCAGTCACCTTATGAGTAGTGCATTACAAAAATGAAATATCACTGATTGCGGACATGGTGAAGACCCGTTACTGGGTCGGCTAGCGGTTCGCCAACACTGGCATCTCTCTTCAAGTAATTCAAAGTAATTCACTCTCCGTTGATGCGCAAATAGAGACTTCACGTTTTACATTCAATGTATCAACGGGGCCCTTTAAATATCGGAATGTCTTGGGAGTAATCTAATACGCAAAATTTTATGTGTAATGCTCACAAGTCTGTGATTCACTTCCGAACAGAACTGAGCATGAAACTGATTACTACATGCTCCTGTATTTCAACGACAGTAAAATGTCTTTAGCACAATGAGTTCCCCAATCAGGTGAATCCGTATGTCCGCCCATCGAATTCACGCACGATGTATCGGATAGACGTCAGGTTTGCAGAAACCCGTCGAAGCTATATCAGTCTCTATAGCCCGCATACAATTTTCGCACAGCTACTTCAATGCTGAGGACTAAGGTCGCCATGGCTGTCGAACGATGATACAACCATGTATACGTTTGTAATGTACTAATCATAAGGTTGCTGAAAATTCGTCGACAGCCCACGACCGGTTTCGCTCTTTTTGGGGCTCATCAGGTAGGCGCAGCACATTCAGTCAGGTGAGTCTCTCGAAAAACCAAGTTAATTTACGAATGAGTGTATATTCACTAATTTCGTGCAATTCGGTTTCAAGTAGAACATAAGGTTGATGAAAACCCGGGGACTGCGCCGATCTGATGAGCCACAAAAAGGGCGAAACACGTGAATGCCTAGGGTCAACTGTGCTCAGTCATACACAGCATGCAACTCGAAAACATAAATTCACCTTAGAGGTCGCGCAAACTATGGATTATACTTTTGAGGCAGTGTTTTCGTGAGATTTCCTTTCGCCATCGTTTGCCCTGGTGAGCTCGAATTCTCTAAGAGCATGTGAGCTGCCACCGAACAACATCCCTACGACCTTGTTTCAGCGCGCAGCAAACTATATATTTCGTTCAGATCGGTCCGATAATGGAGTTCGCTAGGGTCCGCTCCAGATGGAGCTCAGTATTCGCAAAATGGAATTGAATTTTCGAAAGCTATGACGTGTCCCTAATGAACTGATGCAATCGGACAATTGGGTTCAGAGTACCAGGCCAAACTTTTAAGCCCCATTAAGGCATCTCTGTGTCTCAACGGTGCTGGGAAATTATTCCACCAGACTTTTCCGCTAGAGGTATGATTGCTCCAGTGGACAATGAAATTTGATGAGCTGCAAAAGTATGAATGTATACTAGGATGGTTTTTTTGGTCTGAGCACATACGCAACAAAATGCTAAATTTTGCCGCCAAAAGTTTTACTCCACTCGTAAAGATTTTGCAGCTAAGAGCATTGTGCGGTTAATGGCCCCACTCCAGATCGCTAAAGCTATTACCTTTGAAGTGCGGTCGTCTTCCTGAAACTGGGCCACGCAAGCTGAGGCTTACTGTTATATCCGCTGATTCGCCGACCTGCGGTATCTGATGCTAACCCGCTCCAGCGCCTAGTGCCGGAGAAAAAAGACTCACAGAAGGGAACACAACCGCTATATTCCGAACAAGCGAGTGCGAGAGCAAAAGTTACGACGGCCCCACGCTATTTAAAGGGGACTTTCTGACATTGATCCAGGCTGTCTGATCCCCACCCATCAATACCCACCAACATCGATCGTGCCTCTATGAAATGCCTGAACGCTGATCATATTCGGTAAAGCTTCTGTGGCGTGCAAGAACACTAATCAGCTTTTGCTGAATTGATTGAATGATTGGCCTGGATGCTTGTCGTCTTTCCTGGTGGAGCAGTAGGTTCCGGGCGTTCTGAGTTTACTTTCAGGAATCTGACCTTCCTGATACCTACGTATGTCAGAGCGAAGACCGGCCCAAATAAATGACTCCGGCTGATCGATCGCGCTTTCACCCAGATTTTTTGGCCCACACTTTGCACCTGATGGTGTCATAAAGAGGTTCGCTTGGTTGTAGGCACCGACAAAATCTTGATTCCCCAGTCCCTACTCATTTCCGTTCATTTCATTGCAAGGATCGCCTCATAATTCCATGCAGAATGCACAATAGCCTCGCCAAATTTTGACCGTAACTTCCAGTCCTGCCTTACTGTTCTGATAGTTGGCCATCTGTGATTTCAAAATAACCTGAAATACTTTTATAAGGCGAAACACACTACTCATTAGGTTGCTGAAAATCCGTCGACAGTCCTCGACCGGTTTCGTCTTTCTTGGGGCTCATCAGGTAGGCGCAGCCCCCGGGTTTCCGTCAACCTTATGTTCTACCTGACCATAAATTGCCCGAAATTAGCGAAATACACTCATTTGCAAACAAATTTGGTTTCGCGAGAGACTCATCTGGAACCCAGCTGCATCCCCCTTTCATGATGTTTTTAAGTAACTGAATGTGCTAAGCCAAATCGCCTCATGTCTCAGTTGGTACGATATTCGAGATATCACATATATTAGTCATGATGTTGCTGAAAACCAAACCGGCATGCGAATGAGTTTATAAATCATAAGCTGAGATCGGCGATGGAATTTTCAACTTAGTCGCTAAACTGGTGTTCCCGTGTATCCTTGCGCTCACCGGTCAGAATGGACAAGAATGAAACTTCGCTGAAAGTACTCCCAATTATTCAGATTGAAATGTAACGATTTATTACTGACCCAATTGACATGGGTTTACAAAAGCGGAACTAAAGACTCCGGCACACATGTCCCGGTGGTAATGAATCGTGATTAGTGTTCTCTGCGAATAGTTAAACGTATGAAACTCGTTTCCACCCAACAAAACCCTTTACGGTAGTTCTCATAGATAGTATTTGGCCATTTTTTCCGAATAGATAAAATACCATGAATAGGAACTTCCTGTGGGAGTGAGAACGTTCTTTTTCAGGATACGTTCACAAAGAATGTCACAAAAGACGAGACAGTAAACGAACACAAGTGAGTACTACTCAGCCAAGCTTTCATATATACATGTATCGCGATATCTCGAATATCGTAGTGGCTCAAACATGAGTCGGCCTGGTGCAGCACATTCAGTTGCCTGGAAACATTACAAACGAGAGATTCAGCTGGGTTCTTGGTGAGCCTCTCGGAAAACCAAATTAATTTACAAATAAGTGCATATTCGTTAATTCCGTGCAATGTGGTTTCGACAGAAAAGTATCACAAACGGTGGAAATTCAGTTGAGCTTTTCGTTAGCACTAATATAAGTTACGAATGAGTGCATTCCACAAACTGTGTGGTCGTGGGCTGTCGAGGAATTTTCAGCGACCTTATGAGTAGCACATCACAAATATATACATGTATCGCGATATCTCGAATATCGTAGTGACTCAAACATGAGACGGCCTGGTGCAGCACATTCAGTTGCCTGGAAACATTACAAACGAGAGATTCAGCTGGGTTCTTGGTGAGCCTCTCGGAAAACCAAATTAATTTACAAATAAGTGCATATTCGTTAATTCCGTTCAATGTGGTTTCAAGTAGAACATAAGGTTGACGGAAACTCGTGGAGTGTGCCTAACTGATGAGCCCCAAAAAGGGCGAAACCGGTCGTGGGCTGTCGACGAGTTTTCAGCAACCTTATGAGTAGTACATCACAAATATATACATGTGTACAATATGGTTTTCAAGTAGAACATACGGTTGCTGGAAACTCCGTGTCCTCCTGTCCGATGAGTTCCAAGAAGGACGAAACCGATGGTGTACCGTCGAAAAGTTTACAGCAGCCTCATGAGTAGTATATTTAGTTCACATACCCTTCTTTCGTCCTTGTATGAACTCCTCATCTCACGTGCCCCTTGCGTTAACAGTTTCACGCTCTTACTCTCCGGAGCACGTATCCACCAATCACCTAGCGCGGTTTGTGGAAACTCGGTCTGACCAATCAGCTGATAAGTCAGTTTGAATCAGGGGAACAGTCATCGGCTTCCATAAAGCACCTGGCACGTACTAATCATAAGACATAAATTTCACTGAACAAACATGTGGTTGGACCCCGCAAAGCTCAGCGTGCTCATTGAAAATCGGCTTCATCAAGTGGGAGCGAAGGGGTTGTTACAACTGACAGTAATCTGTTTTAAAAAGTGAAGTTTACCCTGATCATTACAAATCTCATTCAAGCTGTGTTCAAGCGATAAGGATAAGACCTCGGTTACTCTCTACATCAAGTGTAACCAGCTACCACATCGAGTGATACCAAGGAAACAGAATTCGTTTTGAGTTGCCTCACCGTTCCGAAGTGGTAATAAGTACTTACCAGGTGTATTAGAGGGACGTTGTTTAGGCTGAATAGCTGAACTGGAAAAGGATGTCCATCCCACATCCGGGGCTGCATTAGCCTGCATATTCTGTTCGATAAACTGTTGGGAATTCGGACTGCCCACGACCAAACCGTGTTGATAACCGGATATCGAGCAGTGGGAAAAAGATCGCGTTCGTTGATTACAAAACTCTTCCGCTGGTGTCACGAATTCTCCACTGCATCTCAAAGACAATGATTCACTTGAGTGTACTTTTGAAAACTTGACGGAACTTTTGTTTGATGGTTTGCTATGACGTTTACGATCGGACCGATTTTTGATCAATGTAGTTGAGGTTTTATTCGACCGGAGACCAGCGGCTTGGTCAAATGCAGCTGCCTTCCGAGGCGTGCGTTGAGTAACATTTGTGGACCTGTTTTCAGACAATTTTGGCGTCGCCCTGAAAAGAGAGATTGAGACTGAATGAAACTAGAGAACCTTTATAGGCAACGGACAATCGGACCATATTACATACAATAAATATCCCAATATCAGTGATTTTTGTTGATATTGTAACTTTGGTTTCTCTCTGGAGTTGACAACACTTTCACAGGACCTAATTCTCTAGAGAAACGCCAAATGAAGCCCGTAAAATTTCGTATTCTTGAAAAACGATTGGTGGATGCGTGTTTAGTCGAGACCTCATACCCGTGACGTGAATTAGGTGAGCAGGCATGCGTGATGCAGTTTCCCGTTCGCGTACAGAGTATTCGAAGAGCTGATCAGCCACCCTTAGCTCAGCTTTAACCCCACCTGGAACGCATCGATGCTTAACGATGATGATTTCAAGGGAAGATGCAATATTCACAGGTGGAACTTCAAAATGTCCTCACAGTGTTCACGAGATTCCAGTTATTGGTTAATTTCATCATGTCTAGCTAACTTAACCAATACTTATCAGGAAGGTCAGATTCCTGAAAGCAACTTCAGAACGCCCGGAACCTACTGCTCCACCAAAAAGTCAACTGGAAAGCCGGCAAGCATCCAGGCCAGTCAATCATTCAATCGATTCAGCAAAACCTGATGAGTGTTCTTGCGGCCACAGAAGCACGACCGAATATGATCAGCGTTCAGGCTTTTCACAGAGGCACGATCGATGTTGATGGGTATTCACTAACGCCTATCAGACAGCCTGGATCAATGTCAGAAAGTCCCTTTAAATAGCGTGGGGCCGTTGTAACTTTTGCACTCTCACTCACTCGCTTGTTCGGAATACAGCTGTTGTGTTCCCTTCTGTGGGTCTTTTCTCTCCGACACTAGGCACTGGAGCGGGTCAGCAGCAGATACCACAGATTGACGACGAATCAGCAGATATAACAATCCTATACTACGGAGAAGCAACGGGCAGGTAACTGTGGATCAGTTGTCGTCGGCAGTGGAACACTTATCACGACTTCTGATGGAAATTCAAATAAACATTAAGCTATGAATGTCCACCTAGGTCTGTGAATGCTACGCGTCTCGCCTTTCAGTCAAGCATTGCACGTTATGTCATTTGGTGTTCGCTGACGCCTCGATCGACAGCTTATCGTAGGAAGGCCCATGTGACTGGTAAAGTAGTTTTTTTGTTCGCATAAATTATGCGTACTCGGTGTTCAAACTTTCGTCCTGAAGGGTACTAGTCAACCTGCTGGCTCGTGAGATGCACATCATGATGAAACGGATGTAGAATACTTTGAAGCTTCTCGATGTCGGCATGCTCTGAGTGAAATTTGGGGGGTTGATTTTTGGAAATTTCGCTGCTAGTAATGCAGAATTCGGACGTTTTAACGCAGGCGGTCATAAGCAGCCTCAAGAAGGAAAATGCTTGTCAGGGTCACGAGTCCTCGAGGTCGAACCCCATCTAGAAAAAGCCACCATCATAAAGGAAACTACTCACAAAGTCGCTGAAAACTCTTCGACAGCCCGCGACCGATTTCGCCCTTCCACTTCGGGCTCATCAGGTAGGCGCGGTCCCCGAGTTTCCGTCAACTGTATGTTCTATTTGAACCCAAATTGGACTGTTATCGAGAAATATACTCACTTGCAACTTAATTTGGTTTTCACGAGACTGAGATATCTCGAATATCGTACCAACTGAAACATGAGGTGGCCTGTGTGCAGCACATTCAGTCGTAGAATATCATAAACGCGAGATTCAGTTGAGTCTTTCGTGAAAACCAAATTGATTTGCAAATGAGTGTGTTTCTCGAAAAACACCATCAGTTCGAAACCGAACTTTGGAACCGTGAGAAATAGATCCTTCCAAACTTGTCTGTTACGTTATAGTCCCCGCTTGTTTGACTGATCTTCGCTCGTCGAGCGGGGATAACACGGCTCATGTGGTGAAGTCTGTTGTACAGTAGCAGTCCTCCTTTTGTTTTCCAAAAGAAATAAGTTAGGACAAGATATACGGAGGTAAATTCTCGCGTTTTTTACCTTAAATAGTAACTTATCACGCCCCGCACTGTTAAACCCCGTTGACGCCACTTCACCTAATCCTCGACTATATGACTGACACTCAGGCACCATCTCCGTACTTTTGGCTGACATTAACAAACACAAAATAATCGCTAGTTACGAACCACAACATGTCTGCACTTGAGACGTAATACAATACTCATAAGGTCGCTGACAACTCTTCAACAGCCCACGACCAAATTGGAATGCAAACGGGTGCATTTCGCTGATATCTGCACCTGAATCCCTCGGAAATGTGCTGAAGTATGAAAGTTCCTCTCTAGTAAGAAACCACTTAAACTCTTTGATGCCTCCTGAAAGAGGCTACCTAGCTGAAGTCACTCTCGCAAAGTGGTCTCTCTAAAGTAGGAAAATCCCACTAAATGAATATTTACTCTGTGGGCTGAGTTCGATAACCATCACAAGCTACTGATATAAGCCGCACACACTGTCTAGCATATGTGATAAACGGTGTCAGACTATCCCTATAAAGCGTCAAAGCTATTCCCGTGCACTCATAACAAACGCACGGAAGGCGATATGACCCACGAATCAGCCAACAATTGCAGCACGACACTTTTCCGAATAAATCTACACTACTCATGAGTAGAATCAAACTTACGTGTTGAGTGCAAAGTGCTGCGCAGTACTTGCCGCAGTTCTCACGCCCGTCCTGTCTTCCTCTGGACTTGAGCTTAAATCCGAGAGACCACCTCCTGAACTAGAATTTAATCCATTCGAATGACGAGCCAAAAAAGACAGGTAGCTCTGCACTCCCATCTCCCCACAAAACCAATGTGAGCTGTTGTCTGGACAAGCGAACTGGGGAAACTGTCCCCCAACGTGTTTAAGATCCACCCAAGAGGAGGCCCAGAAAGAGCAAGTTGAGGTAGCTGATTCTTGAACAGCTGCAGCTGGCCAGTGTGGTTCTGCTTTGATGTGATCAATGTGATCACAGTGCGATGCAACATCCTCTGTGTTCCGTTCGGTATCTTGAATGGAACGAATAATAGGAATGACGACCAACCAAAGCTGAAATTCTCCTGGTTTACAATCAACAAGTACAAAACGATGCTAATCTGCTAAGTACAACCGACAACTTGCCATCAACACACACTCGTTGAGGTCATGTGTTACATACCACTTGAACTTACACGTAAATCACGAAGAGTTACAATCAAAGACTTGATCATCGAATAATGAACTGTTTACAAATAGAACAAGATTCACAATGCTACGGAACGACATGAACCCCGTGACAAGATAGCTGGACGATGAAAACGACAAGCACGTGACACAGTCGTTTTCCAGTTTAGTGAAACTGCGTCTACATAGTGTTGTGCATGCTTGTATCTACACAACGTATGTGCATTGGCATGTGAGGAGGTTCCAAGTGAATTCGCACGCGCGGGGAACCCACGCTTCGGATATAAACAAGTCCACCGTGACTGCACTCGATCACCGTTATCCTGATACCTAGCAACACACCGGGAATGCCAAACGAAGAAATCAATAACAAATCAGCCGAACAGTAGATTGACTGCATGTGGTTAGTTGCACGGAAACATGCAATGTAGAATCCATCGGAGATTGTGTTACCCTTGGAGAATGAGTGTGCATCTGTTTGACTCTCCAGTTAGCGTACACATGAACCAACAGTTGTAACACTACGCAAATAAATCGCATTAAGCAGAGGGGTTTGGTAAACAATCGGTGAATTTATTGCTGGGAAACTAAGACGGGTATTGGTGCCAACACCAAGGCCCAACAAGGAGTGTATCGGAACAGCGGTCATTCCATACAAAACAGGGACATCTGAAGTCATTAGAATAATACTGAATGCGGCTAACATTGGAGTAGCTTTCCAGAAGGGGAAAACTTTACTCCAAGTAGAGTTAGATCCGATTAACCACCCCACCCCCATCCCCAAACCAATGGTCCCAGCCGCCTTGGACGAACACAGGTGAACGAAATCTGTGAACGACCCCAAGAGGAGTTTTCCATTAAGGTGTCCTAGACTGAAGAAGCAAAGACGGAAAAATCCGGGTTCATCATAAAAACGAATCCTCCCTAACTAATCTATCGTAAATCTTAGTCATCCCCACTAAGCAACAAACTGGAACATTGGACTGAACACCCAGCACTGATCACGTCACTAGTCATAAGGAATCTCACGGATTGGTTCCCTGACTGCCTTAAAACCCAATCAACCTATCTACTTACTCACTTGGCCTGACGAAGCTTTAGTGTCAAAAGCGAAACGTTGCCCAGCAATAAATTCACCGATTGTTTACCAAACACCTCTGAAACGCTGACTTCCCAATCGGTCCCAAACATTTACCAATTGACTGAAAACTTGCATAAACTGTGGACCTTGTTGCAGGAGCATCTAAGAATTTCAAGGATAACATCGACGCCAGGTGCATACTAGACGAACGAACGCTTTGCCTACGAATCATATGGTTTTTAATGCATTCGTGTGGCAAACTGACCGTGAGATCTACAAGGTTTTGTTAGTAATCTCGTATATGTCCTATCCTATTGCGCGACAGGATACGCTCCTCGGACAACTTGCCAGAACCGGTACATCATCCAGTCTGGTTATTGCGGATAACTTGGTGAGAATTCCGACTCATTCACAACGGTAACACTGACAATAGACTTCCAAAAACGGAAACCACTTTCCTGGGGATTTCGCTGCAGTACCGCTCAATGGGTCATACCACTCAAAAAGTCGATACACCCCTTTTGGTGAGAATTCCGACTCATTCACAACGGTAACACTGACAATAGACTTCCAAAAATAAACCACTCTCCTGGGGATTTCGCTGCAGTACCGCTCAATGGGTCATACCACTCAAAAAGAAGTCGAATACACCCCTTCCTTCTGATGAACTGCGTTCATATCATTCTGAAGTGATGGACACAGATGGATTGACAGTATATGCTCAACGTTCAGTATTGATGGATACTGACCACCATGGGATTCTGGGGTCAATAACTGCAGTTAACGACGGCAAGCATATTCCAAAGAACTTTAGCGTTTAGTATGTCTCAAGTGTCATTACATCATTCTACGACTTTGTTGCCTCGAAAACTTCCTACATGTTACAAAAAGTAAGACGAACCGAGGCGCTGTTGAGGCCCAACATCGTTCGGAGGAACACAGGGCAAAATGGATGACCATGCAGTTGATCTAGACTGCAAACGGATGCTTCACAGTCTGGCACTTCTGCATTGTGACTTGCGTGCCTCCTAAGCGTAAGCCGACTCGCAGAGCTGACAGTGTCCAAAAACACCATTCTCTCACTCCAGCGTGACTGATTTGCGCCTAATGTGGGCCTCTACCAACCGGTAATACTCACTTTCGTACGCACCTGTTGATTTTGGCAATGGTATGTGATTACAAGAAGACGGATACCAAAAAACCGGAATGTAGTGATAGTTCCACGGGGGTTTTGAAAGTCAACACGGAAGTACATCGAGCGCCAAATTACCCGTCACTATTGTCGAACGGTATAATCTCAGGGCCAACAAAACAGTATACCATCAATTCTGAACCTAAGTTTTCAGTTGACATATTATCGATTCATAATATGCTAGTGTAGTCCACATCGTCCTATCAAATTTTTGTAGGATCCGTATTCGCGACCAACCTATTCAGGTGCAAAGTGCCAAACGATCGGCATTGTTGCGGAATAAGGGTGAGAATAGCTCAGGTGTCCTGTTTGGTCGTTGGTCTGTCAAGCCCGACGAGCGGATCGATTTCTTCGAATTCAAAGGAAACGAATGGTTCGGCGGAATGGCGACTGTACAAGAGAACAAAACTGTGGATCTCTTCACAGTTGAACAATCTGGAATCCTTCTAATAAGACTCCGTTTACAACAAATTGTGAAGATTAAGTCACTTCCTTCCACTCCGACTGATAAACAGTTGATGCCCCTGACCAAACACACATTCAACCCCAACATGCATGAAAAATAGTACTGGGAGTTTTGGAATACTAATGAACACTGAAACGGAGCACAATGATTTCCCCTTTGGCCGGTCCTTCGAAAAACTTCAGCGGAACAACATGACAGGATGGATACATTTTTCGATTAGTTGTATCTCTTCGAGGCTTCTGTTGCCAAACAATGGAAAGTGAGCTTTATTACAGTTAGAACTGTTCAATCTTGTGACACTAGTCTACATTACTGATGATATCCCTAAATCGATTATTTTATTCGCTCTTTTGGTTAAAAAAATGTATCCATCATCCTGCAGTTAGAACTGTTCAATCTTGTGACACTAACCTACATTACTGATGAATTCCCTAAACCGATTATTTTATTTGCTCTTTTGGTTGAAAAAATGTATCCATCAACCTGAGTCTTTTGTGCTTTCAATTAGTCAGGCGCGGTTTGTCAGACCGAATTTCACTCACAAGCGCGGGGTTATGTCATCCGTCAACCCAGATTTATCGATACTCATAAGGTCAATCACATGACGATGAATAGTCCGGGTTCCGAATGCTAAGGGGCGAATTGATTCTTTTTTGAATCAATGCGCACAACACCACGCTGATAATAACAAGCTTTAGGCAGTTGATTTGTGACTTGGTGCTCGAAAAACTGAGATCACCTTACGGAATAGAAATCCACTGATGACCTATGTTTGTCCGCTTTCAACTATGCATCTGAGCCAGGCTAACACTGTTCGATTATTGTAGTTTCTAGCTTACTTTACATACTCGAAAAAAAAACCGTTAAGATCATCCGTACTGCACCCCATTCCAAACTCTTCCAGCCATCCCCAACTAACCCGTTTCTAACTTATAGCGTGGCACAGGTATGTATACTTGTGTTCATAAAATGCACCATGTTCTTGTTTTTTTAGGCAAACGTACCAAAGCTGCCACAATCAGTCGTTTATGGTTCATTTTATGTATGATAATGCGTGCGCAGAGTGTAGGATCGTCTACCTGAGTAACTGCAGTCCTGTTTGTTTGTTCGGCGTATATCTCTGTATGTCCATGTGCAGTTTTCGAGGGCTACTCTGCCCATCAATGGTTATCACTTGATCAAGAAGGAATGGAAGTCCCATACAAGTTCAGCGTTTCCACCCCCCCCCCGTAAAAACGTACCTTTCTGTCTATTCAGTCCCCTTCTTTCAATAATATCGTCACGATCGCAACATCTACAACTACCCTGTTTACATCGTTTTACGACCGATCATACGCACCACTCGAAAGATGTTTGAAGTAGGGAGTTAGCTGATCACTTTGTCAATTCCCAACCCGATAAGACACACGTACACTCAAGTCTCGGGTCGGATCCAGGGACGCTTGTGTGTGTGTACGTCACATCTTACTAATTAGACTGTCCCCCCACCGGTGCGATTTACTTATCATCACCACCCCCTGTTCTTCCCCCGAAAACGCGAGACAAGTTTATTGTGGCACGTGGCTGTCCATAGGCCTACTTTTTCGCCCACACCACCACCATCAACAGTGTACAACATGTGAACGACATTTTTTGTTCGAATAAGTTGTTTTTTTTGCGTGTGTCTAATTTGTTCTGTCCGATGCTAAAGTGAACACGGGTTCATTTCACGTCCGTCAAGGAACAGGACAGCTGCGACTTTCTGGGAAGACGAATTCCAGTGTGATTGTAGTCACTAGTGTCTGAGCGTTGACGATTGTCATATTGCATTTATCTTTGCTTATAGCCCCATAGGTTCCTGTAAACACTAAAGCTTGGTATGATTGTAGATAGATAGACAAAGTGCATTACAATAGTACAAAATGGATGGGCTCCCTGAAGTGCCCGGTCGTAAATGGCTACTCTGGTGTGCGGTGTGATGAACAGTAAATGGGGTAGCGGATAAAACTGCTTTTCCCTCGGGGCTTAGATACCAGCAGCACCACCTATCGACCTAGGTTCGCACGCGCCACCCTCTCAGTAAGGTCCAAGATTGCGCTCAAGCTACCCAACTGCCTCAGCGTGATAT